AGAGAGTCTTAACAGAGCAAGAGGTAAGAGAAGAGAGAGATCTCATCGCTGCAATTTCAAGTTTACTGCACATTCGAGGTAAGGGGGAGGGGGGAATTGTTCATGATATGGGTGTTTAGGGCATAAGGATAGAGATGATTCCTAATCCTCTTTCTTTCTTCTTTTTGATTTGTCCTACTTTGGTGAAATTGTTGAATTTATAGATGGTTTGTGCACAACCTCTCTTGATTGCAGTGGTGTGTTGTTGATAACACTGAATCATACCACATATTTGACTCGAATTGCGCATGTTTCTTAGGATTTTATTGCTATTTTTCTTGTGTTATGCTTTTGTTTTGTTTCGTTTTCAGAATTTTGTATTCCTAGAGCTCCTCGTGAAGAAATGAAGAAAAACGGGCAAAAAAGACCAGTTTTTGAGGAAATTGTACACATGGCATTCACCATGGCGGGCGCCATAGGGTAGGCCATGACTTGGATGAGAGTCCAACTACTGTCAACTGCCACAATCTCCACTACTATCTCCTCTAGTTTACATGGCAGGCGCCATGAGGGTATGGCGGGCGCCACCCTTGTCTTATGTTTTCCCTCCCAAAAGAAGTTGAGGGGAACTTTGGTCTTTCCTTGTACTTTTCCTAGGCTATAAATAGATGAGTTCTTGTTCATTTCTAGGCATCCAAGCTTAGTTACAGAACTCAAGCCATATATTTTCCAGTATTGTAAAGTGATAAACTTCTCACATCGGGGAGTTATCGCATTGTCTAATCGAGTCTGTAATCGAGTTTGGAGCACTCTGGTAGAAGTTAATCCTACCGCTATTTTCTTTCCAGTCTTTTATTTCTAGTTGTACCAGATTTAAAACCTCCCATTTGGAGCAGGTTTCTATTTACTTTTCATTTATTTCCCGTATTATTTTTCTGTATTATTTACTTTTCCGCAAGTTTCCCGCATTACTTAACATGTCTATTTACATTTTCATGTCCGGCTAAATTTTAAAGGTTAGAATGTAAGGATCATAGTTAATGTAGTATTCCATACAAGCTGTCAATAGAAATGCTTAGGGGTTATTCTGATTTTTAACACTAGTTTTCTGTACTTCATTTCTGTTGGGTAAGATCGAAATTCGTCCAACCTTTGGTTAAACTAGGTTATTCTTAACTATTCAAAAGAAGCGAAAGCGCTTTTTCCAGTTAAGTAGGAGTTTTAATGCTTTAGAAAAACGATTTTAAAACTATTCTTGGACGCATTTATGGGTTTAAAGTCCGGTTCGCACGAACCTCTTTTTGTTAAAAGTTCCAGGTCAAAATACTTTTAAACTAAGTTAAGAAACTATATTTCTTAAAAATAGGTTTATTACTTTAACGCAATGCACGCCTTTTTATAAGTGAAAATAAGAGGGATCGATTAGGGTATAAACTCGGTTCTGAATACGTGAAAGCGTCAGTTCCCGTTAAATTAGTTCTTTTCATAAGTAGAAAAGATTACCCTATAAGAAGTTCTATTTACACGCATTTGAAATACTACCCAGCTATGTGAATTACATTAAAGCCTGTTGTTTTAAATTGAATTTTATATTTTCCGTACTTCACTTTTACTTTGCACACACGAACTCCCGATTGATTTTCCTTAGATAAACATCGTAACAGTAGAAATCGATAGATTGACGTTTGGTCTCTGTGGGATCGATAATCTTTTATATTACTTTGGCGCTATTCATATACTTGCAAAAATACAACATCAGTTGTGAAATTCGTGTTGTAGTTGGTGATTGATTTTCGTATGAATTTTGATTTTTGGTGTTCATATGCTTATGCGACACTTTGATGAAAAGTATTTGATGTTAAGCGATTATTCTGTGTGAAATTGATGTGTTTCATGTTGTATAAATTATGTGTGATGATTTACTGTGAATTTTTGATTTTCTAGAATCAAAATCGTAGCTTCAGAAGTTCTTAAATGGTGAAAAACACAGAATCTACCTTCTGCACAGCGGTGATGAGCGTCACCTTTGTGATGGGCCAACCGTGACTGTGTTAGCCACGTTGACGGACGTCAGTATGGGGACGGGAAGACCGTCGTGGACTTTAGGGACATGTTCCTTTCCCGGGCATTAGTGTGATGCGAGTTTTGTGTGTGTGTGTGTGTGTGTGTGTGTGTGTGTGTGTGAGAGAGAGAGAGAGAGAGAGAGAGAGAGAGAGAGAGAGAGAGAGAGAGAGAGAGCGAGAGAGAGAGAGAGATAGATAGAGAGAGAGAGAGAGAGAGAGAGAGATGGCGGGTAGGCGTGACGACCATCATGCCCTTGTTTGACTGAGTTTAGTTCGTTAACTCGTCTTTTTGAGCATTTGAGTAGATCCTGCCTTCGATGTTTATTCGACATTGTTTTGATGTTGTTGATGAGTTTTTTTTTTGAAAAATTACATAATTTAATTCTTATGATGAATTATGATAAAATGCTGAGTTGTGTTGACATGTTGGTTCAGAGAGGAACCAACGTTGTGGCCTTATATTAGTGATATTCATGTTGAAATTTATATTCATAGAGGAATCAATAACGAGTATTGGAGTGCAAGGTTTAAGACAACTATTGCATTTGTTTGCTGCATTCATGCATCATGTATATTAGAGATAGTTGACAGACTTCAGTCTAGTGACGAGTCTCAGGTTCAAAGGTGGAACCTATGATGAGTCTCATGGTTCAGAGATGGAACTAGTGACGAGTGGATTAATCAGTAACATACTTCTCATATCCAAAACCTTGGTATTACGTGCATTGGATTAGAGGAGACAAATACATTTCATACAAAACCACATTTGTGATATATATTGTTGTGGATGGTTTATGTGAATGATGAGTGATATTATATCGAACTATTCTTGTTATTTTATGCATCACTAACATATATAAATGTATTCTCACTCTGTTTGTTTGCTTGTGTTGCTCTTTATGCATGTGGTGCAGATAGTCAAGTTGAGGAGGCTTACCTGTTGTTGTGTTTGGAGGATGACGTAGTAGTTTTCTTCGTCATTTTTTTTTGTTGCTTTTGAGTTATTTTAGTTTTAGCGTGTCGCTCTAATAGTGTAACACTTGGATTTGTTACCTTTTTGTTTTGTGTTTTTTGAAAGTTGTTTAATGTTTCTATTATGAGTTGAAATGAAGTTGATTTTTATTCCTAAAATAAATGAAATTGAGTTGCTATTATTTATTTCCGTTGTTATAATATGAGATTTGAGAAAGTTGTTTTATGCCGAGCAAATGTGACACCCTATTGTTGAGTGAATTATTCACATGTTTTTGTAAAATAAGTGTTTCGAGTTTATGGTATTACACCTTTGACTAGTGAAAGACCTTAATAAATGACCAAAAGTTGTGCATAGAGGTTATCTCAATAATTGGGTATAAATCTAGATAAATCACATTGACAAAAAAAATCTTATTTTTAATAAAATGATTTGACAAGACAACCACTATTTCAACTATGTATATTCCTCTCTATTTCAAATTTAAAATAGACATGTGAATCTAAAATCTATATCCCTTTATCCCACAATGAGTGACCCGTTTGTAATAAAAGTGTCCCAAAATGAGTGATTTATTTCAATTTTTAACGCATCTTTTCCAATTTTACCTTCTAATTAATATTAATTTCATCATTTCCAATACATGATAAGGATACTTTGGTAAAAATATCATTCTCTTTCTTTCAATTATTCATTTTTCTTAATCTATGTGAAATGATCAACTGAGTCACTCATTATGGAACGAAGGGAATAATATATTAAATCGGAATCACATATTATCTCGTTGATACTTCACCTATTTTTGTACCACATTATCTAAATTCCTATGTGCCACACTCAAAAACTCTTCGTCACTTTTAAAAAAAATGCACATATTTATTCTCTATGAAATGCCATGGATTTGAATCCTAATAAAGACAAAAATGTATTATTTATAGTTATTTCTCACTCTAAGTTTTTAAAGTGTAGTTCTATATTAAAACTTTTAAACTTTTAATTTAACAATTTCAAAACTTAACTACTAAAATATAAAAATATTATGCATTACATGATACATATGTAAACAATTTAAAATAAATATCTATATAAGATAAATGTATAAAAGAAGAAATGAGAATGAAAATAAAAAATAAACTACCGATTATATCTTTTATAACTACTTAAATTTGTAAAAATACATTTTATATGTCACTCACAATTTACCGACTTATATTTTTCTTTTTATTTGTCACTAAATTATAATGTTGTTAGAAAAAAATATTGACTATATTTATCAAAAGAAATTTCCAATACGTTATTATAATATAAAAATATTAACTATATATGTAAAATCTCTTAAAATAATTAATAGTTAATCCAAAAATAAATAAAAAATTAATACTCACGCATCGCGTGGTCTCAATCTAGTTAATAATAATACTAATGTTTATGTATTTTTTGAAATTCAAGCGATTATTTCCATTTAGGCTAAACTCTAAATTATTACGATTTCTTATCTCTAAGATGAGAAAATTAACAAAAATAAAATAAATTAAAGAAATGTTTGAATTTCTTTTTTATATGGGTGAATTAGGATTTGTATATACACAAATCATTATTTTTCTGTTTTGTTTTGATCTTAAATGCACACCAACTCAACTTCACATTCTTCCAATTATATCATAATTTTGTGGCCCTTGTTTATACTATCCAACTAATTTGAGGATTAGATTTTTCTCAAATTAAAGAGATTTAGAGGCTCACGGAAAGTTCTTTTTTAAAAGAATTTAACCTGCTATATTAATATCAACTAAGCTAATTTAGTAGCTGAGATTCCTAAAACACAGTTACATCCAAAGCCGTTAATGGCATTTACAATCACCCAACATTGTAATTTCCACTGATTTATTTGTGTGAATTATTAATACCTCCTTACTCCATTATTCATATTGTCTCATACACTAAATAGCACCACAATTAGTCCATCATATTGTTTTCAGATAAACATGGAATTTGCATTATCACTCATATCAATCATCATTCTCATCTCAATTTTCCCTCAAACATCTATTTCTCATGACCTTCAAACTACTTTCCTTCAATGTTTTTCATCCTATTCAAACTCATCTACAAAAGTAATGCTCACACAGAACACTTCATCTTATGAATCTCTCTTACAGTCCTCCATAAGAAACCATAGATTTTCAGATGCTTCTGTTCCAAAACCAAACCTTATTGTCACACCAAATAGCCTATTCCAAATCCAAATAACAATAGTTTGTTCCAAAAAACATGGCCTACAAATAAGAGTTAGAAGTGGTGGACATGACTATGAAGGCCTTTCTTATATCTCTAACCTTCCATTCCTAATCATTGATCTCATAAACCTTAGATCCATAACTATTGACATGAAAGAAGAAAGTGCATGGATTCAATCTGGTGCTACACTTGGAGAACTCTACTATGCAATAGCAAACCAATCTAATGTTCATGGTTTTCCAGCTGGGAGCTGTCCTACTGTTGGTGTCGGAGGTCACTTCAGTGGAGGTGGATTCGGTACGTTGTTTCGAAAATATGGTCTTGCAGCCGATAACGTAATCGATGCTCAAATAATAGATGTTAATGGAAAAATACTAGATAGAAAAATGATGGGTGAGAATCTGTTTTGGGCTATAAGAGGAGGTGGAGGTTCAAGCTTTGGAGTGATCACTGCATGGAAAATCAACCTTGTGCGTGTTCCTTCGATAGTTACAATTTTCAGTATTCCAAAAAGTTTAGATCAAAATGCTACAACCCTTTTCATGAAATGGCAAACTATAGCTGATAAGCTTCCTGATGAGCTTTTTCTTCACTCGGTTATAGGAGTTGGTGAAAAAGTACTTGTTTCTTTCGCAGGACTATATCTTGGAAAAGCTGAAAAGTTGCTTCCTTTGATGGAGAATAGCTTTTCAGAATTGGATTTGAATCATGATAACTGCACTGAGATGAGTTGGATTCAATCTGTTCTTTATTTTGGGGGCTACTCCATCAATGATTCATTGGAAGTGTTACTTCGAAGAAACCAAACATCACCGAGTTTCAAAGCAAAATCAGACTTCGTAACGAAACCGATCAATATTTCAGGTTTGGAAGGATTATGGAACATGTTAGTTGAAGAGAAAGCTCCAACTTTGATTATGACACCATATGGAGGAAGAATGAGTGAGATTTCAGAATCAGAAACTCCATTTCCACATAGAAATGGGAACATTTATGATATCCAATATTTGATAAGTTGGGATTCAAATGAAGAAACATCAAAGCATATAGATCGGATGAGAAGGTTATATGCATACATGACACCATATGTTTCAAAGGGTCCAAGAGCTGCATATTTGAATTATAGGGACCTTGACATTGGAATGAACATAGGTAATGCAAGTTATGAAGAAGCAAAATCTTGGGGCGTGAAATATTTTAAGTCTAATTTTGAAAGATTGGCACAAGTAAAAGATGAAGTTGATCCTAGCAATTTCTTTAGGAATGAGCAGAGTATTCCACCTTTTTCTTATTGATGTATGTACCTACTTCATTTGTTTTCTTTATATGATATATCATGTACATGATATATGTATCACTCTTCTATGTTTCAAAGGTCATTGAGAATGGCAAGTAAACTTTTATGATTCAAGAAACATCACCTTAAATCTACTTGTTAGTAGGGGTAGGCCACCAAGGAAGAGAGGCAAAACATATTTGGTGAGAGAATATTCATTTATGCATTTCTAAATATTTTACATTTTCACTGAGTTTTTCTTTTTGTACTTACAATATATGTGGCAACAAAAACCAAGAGAAAGTAATTAAGGAAAATTACAGTGACGAATTATTGCATGAAGGTGCCTTAGTTGGACATCATGCCTTTTAATCTCACTATTGAAGGCTGTCAAACTAAGAATTGCCACATTAGACCGCTGATTTAAGATTAGAGGTGGTAATTGAATTCAGTAAGACAAAATCTATCCAATTTATTCATTAAAAAATTCATCCAATCCATCCATTAAAAAATTCATACAATTCATCCACCATATAAAAAATAAGTTAATGAATTGAATTAAATACATTTATTTATATGCATGGATGGATTCAATTCATCCAACATATTTTAAGGATCCAATAGATTATTTTTATTTCCGTTTGATTTATTTTTAAAAAATAATTAAAAATATATTTTTTTAAAATAATTAAAAATATATTATTTTAAAAATAATTGAAAATAGATTTTTTAAAAGAAAAGAATTGACTTTTTTTCCAATAAAAAAAAACCGAAATTGATTTTTTTAAAACCGGATTTTTTAAAAGAAAAGAATTGATTTTTTTCCCAATAAAATATATATTTTGCCCCCACAAACTAAAATTTCTAAATCCGTCTCTGTCTTTAACAGTGATTTTTAAAAGCGCTGTTTAATGTATTATTTCTGCAGACTTTTAGCAGTGCTTTTTAATGAAAAATGTTCTTTTTTCTCCCCTATAGCAGTGCTTTTGAAAGCGCTTTCTAATCTATTGGTTTAAGTAGCGCTTTTAAATGAAAAGCGCTCTCTTTTCCCTCCCTTTAACAACACTTTTCAAAAGCGCTTTCTAAGGTATATTTTGTTGAGGTTTTAGCAGCGCTTTTCTGTAAATGCGCGGCCTTAGGTCCACTTTTGACAATGCTTTTCTTAGAAAGCGCTTTCTTTTATTCACGATAATGGATGTTTTCAAAAACACTTTTTTAAAAAATACTTTTTATGAAAGTGTTTTTTTGTTAGAAGCGTTGTCTATTGTGCATTTTTTAAGAAGCGTTTTTTGTTAAAATCGTTGGCATAAGTCTTATTTTTTACTTATAAAATGGAACCACAGACCATATAGGCCTTATATACCTTTATAATTTAACACATAAACCTGCTTATAACCATTATAATTCAACACAAGCCTTTATTTCAACACATAGGCTATATACCATTATAATTCAACACATAAACCTACTTATAACCAATAATTCAACACAACTTTATTTCAACATATAGTCCTTATATATGCCATTATAATTCAACACATAAACCTGTTTAATTCAACACAAACCTCATAACCATTATAATTCAACACATAAACCTGTTTAATTCAACAAAAACCTCATAACCATTATAATTTAACAAAAACCTCCATAATTCTAATAAAACATATCCACTTCCAAAACCTTTAACTTCTAAATATTCATTATACATAATTACAAGTTCCATCAACTCACAACTTCTAAAAGTACAACAACTTGCAAAACTATACAAAAACTTTCAGAACTATTCTTATTTAGTAGTATAGAACATCACAACAAGTAAAATCTCTAAAGACCATAAACTTCACACAAAATAAATAAATACAATATATACCTTATATAATTTTCGTCTCAAGAATGTATTGACACTAATCCTCCTTAATTTCTTCTAGTTTATCTTTCGAGTAAGTAACACACTTGAATTCATCAAAGTACTACATAATATAACATAACATGCATGATTTAGTTAAAACTAATTAATATTTGATGAAATATATATTTGCTAAATATTAAAATAAATCCTAACTTATAAATCCATACCGTGTTTGGAATCTCTATTTGACCCAAATGAAGAGTTTTCTTCATAAACCTCAATACAAAATAATTGCAATCTATATCATTACGCTGGCGAGGACACTACACATATGAAAAAAAGAAAACGAATATATATCAGGATATATAGTTTAACTTGTTTTATCAAGTAGCATCACTATTATAATTAAAATTGTGAAAATATACCTGCACTCTGATCCATGTAATGTTGTTTGCTTTACTCTTTGGTACTCGAGCTTGTCTCTGTGATCGAAATATTTATATCGATCTAACATAATATAAACGAATATTTAAAACAATCTCACATGATAAATAAATATACACATGAATATTCAGAACAATCTCATCACTTACGTATCAACCATCTTCTTCACATCTGAGTATTTTGTTTGATCACCATATAACGAATCCAAATAATATACTATTTCTCTTATCAGATTAATCACAACCACCTTCCTCCATAGGTATTTTACGAATACCACCTTCCATCACATCTGTTGTTCCTATGTATATTTCAAGGCACAACCTAAATCGAGGAACATATGCTTTTTTAAACTCGGTGTTCGCAAGTTCCCTTTTTTTTAACACATTGCTAAATTCAAGCATGATATTCTTGCTGACTTGTTGCAACTCCTGAGCATGAATCTAAAAATCATATAAGTTAAGTAATTAATGTATAAGATTATGAAGCTTTTGAATTCAGATGATATAATATAATTGACACTTTATATGCATATATATAAATGTACCTATTTTTTGATTCAGTTGACCCGATTTGCCGCACAGTCTCCTTATCTTTTGATTTGGATTTTGTAGGAGTCTAAAATTACCATGTAAATAAAAGGTATGTTAATGTAAGAATAACTTACATACATAGCTCGTAAAACATTTGAATACTAAAAGGTCCATAATGGTGATCAATATACCTCATCATCTATGAAAATGAGGTTTTACGGTCATGCAACATACGATCCTATTGATTCTCCCACCAGTGTTGCATCTGAAACATCGTCTGGTATAGGTATTAACGTATTCCCCTCTAAAGCAATATCAATCAAGACTTTCAAAAATCCATCAGGGAGCGGTTTATGGTGAAGTAAGTCTCCTAAAGTGTTATGCATTTTTCCCTTGCCAACCATGCGATAAGTCGGAACGATAAATAAAGCTGACAATGTGAAATTCCCTAAACCAATAATAAATATGATTAAGTACGTAAATATGGAAATTAAAAAAATTGTGATAAATTAAATTCAAGGTAATATATATAATTACCTCAGGAAGTTTTTGTTGAAAATTACAATTGATACCATCTTTGTCACTAGTATCTTTAAATTCTGAACCGCGCTTTTCTAACATATATCTTTCTTTATCCTTTTGCAATTCACGAATTTGAGCTTTTAATTCTTCCAGCGATTGCATCACTTATTTATTGTTAGAACTTTTACTCTTTGGATGCTTATACAATGTTGTTGGAGTGGCTCTGAATCCCTTACCCCTCACACGACCAGAATACTCAGGAACATTTAATATGCGACTTAGTACGCTCCTGCAATCAAGGTCTTCATATGGAGTTAAGGACTGAGATAGATTCTCCTGAAATTCATATGCATATAGAAAAGTATTAGTGTGGATTAAACAACATAAATATTATATGTTAATGAACTTTTGATTTTATTAATGTTATACTTATACATTGCTCAAAAATTTGTTGAACTTCTTCCTGAACAACTCCATCCTTACCCACACGAGCTGCCTTCCACAAAACATGTTTCGAAAGAGCTTTTTCTTCACTTTTCTCCTCTTCTAACTACACATTAAGATAAATTATAACGTATTTTTTTCGGAGTAGAACTGCACTTTTCTCCTCTTCTAACTATATCATTGTAAAGCATTTTTATATATACTTACTATTCTTTGCTGTAAGCGTACATATCCCAAACGCCCTTCTCTATATGGATACACGGGTTTTGATGCTCGTTGGCGATTTATGCCACTCACATCCTGGATAAACAAGTTTAAGTCATATCATAACACATGTGTAACAAGAATATATATTATACAATGTTCATGATATGTAAAAATTACATGGAATTCTTGTGTTCTTTGTTTGACAACAAAAGTTTCTCATTCTTCAGGTGAAATCAAATCTGCATACTTCTTTGGACGTTCTGATTCAACAAAATTTTCATCAGAATCCTTAAGAAATTTGTTCGTTGAAAATGCTCGAAACCCTTTGAGTCTTTTTTCGGCCAATTGAAGACAATATTTTTTTTCGCTCGTCATCAATGTTAAAAGACCTCTGCAAACAAATTAACATACATAGATCGAGTGTGTTAGTATAAGTAATTTAAAGACATAATCGTCGACAAAAGCAAATAACTTCGCATATGATATCAGTATCTCACTCCATATCTTTTCTTCAGCGGGTTTCAACGATGGAGTTCTCCAATTATCATAAGTGATTGGAATTTGCGAACGAACAAGTGCCCTAATGTAACTTGTCAACATTGCACCGTTAGGCTCAACTAATTGGTCTGTTTCATTTCAATGTACGTCATATTTTATACCTTTGTCTCTCGCATGAATTATCCCCTTCATAATCGTTGTTCCTCGTTTAATATCTCCTTCTATATCATGTACTGATTCATTTCCATCATTTTTAAAAGTATCATGTGCATTTTCCTCGTTGCTAGCCATTTAACCTGTAATAAAGAAAAACATAAATATGAAATGTCAAATATCAATATCCATAATCCATAATTCATTGAATATATAAAATGAAAAATATATAATTTTATTGAATGACAAATATATAAAAATTAATTGAATGACATAATATATTTATTTTTACTAGTACCTTTTTCATTAACATCTCTTTCTTTTCTTGGTTGAAATATAATTTACTTGTCTCTTAACAACACAGACAAATGG